TGGGGGTCCCTCCAGGGACTGCCCAGCCCCTCCCTGGGCCCTGGGGCTGCACCTCAGCTCACACCCCAGACTGAGGGGCATGGAGGTGGGCTGAGGCCTTGGGGGACCCTGGGAGGAAGCACCTGCTGAGACCACACAGAGGCTATTGCTCAGTGGGCGCTGCCAGCACAGACATAGCTGCTCCCCATCAGGGCGCACAGGGCCCAGCCCCCAGACCCAGGCTCCTGTGAGTGCAAAGTCCTCAGTGAGCAGCTGTGTTGGGACAACAGAGCGATCCCACATTGCCCCCTGCTGGCCAGAGGACACACTACATCTCCCTTGTCCAAAGCTCTGAGGCCCAGCTGGGGTCTGCAGCTCCTCAGGTCCCTATCCCTGTTCCCACATCCTGGTCTGATGGCACAGACACTGGCACTCACTGGGAGAGTCTCATCCTGGCCCAGCCGTGGCAGGTGCCCGCATTGACGTCTCTGAGAGCTGATGTTCTGGGAACAGTTGGAAATGCTGCCTCCCTGGTCCATGAAGAGTGAGCTGTGACCCAGCCCTCCCGGGAGAGGTCAGGGTGCTGAGGGTCCTCAGGGGCTGGGGGCAGAGAAGGGACAGGAGCTGGGACACAGCCTGGGCCCCTTCCCCGATCACAGATGGAGCGGCTCCTGAAAGGCATGTCACTCCCTGAGCCTGTCTCTGTGGATGGCCCCTTCCTCTGAGGAAGGGGGTGTTGGCTGGCAATGCCATGGCCTCTGGGCGGGGCCCTTTGGGATGTGGTGGGCGTGGCTACAGGTGGGCGTGGCTTTGGGGGAGCAATCCCTTCCTTGTCCCCATTCAATGGCCACAGACAGAGCTGAGGACATTGAGTGCCTGTGAGAGTGGAACATGGGCAGATCCATGGAGGGGAAAGCCACACAGGAAACCATCCATGCCTGTTTGGGGGCATTTTGTGTGATCATCAGCCTGGCCCTTTAAGAACACAGCCATGGAATGTGAGTGAGACCAGAGCCCCAGCCTTCCTGCCCAGGCCCCTGGAGAAAACGCTGGGGAAGCCCCTGAAGACCTTCCTTCTGGTTCCAGGATGGACCCGCCTCAGAGCGGGGCCTGCACCCACCACAGTGTCCCACAGGCCCTCCTGCCCGAGGCTGCAGGGGGCGCCCTTGACCTTGGGGTGAGAACAGGGACCTTCCCTCCTGCAGGGACTCAGCTGACCTCCTTCTGTCTGTGCTGTCCCCGGGGAAGCTGCCAGCACCTGTGACCTCCCGCTGACCCGGGGGTGCGGGTGGGAGGACAGCGAGATGTTCTCCCAGCCCCCTTCTCTTGTGCTCCCTAAAGGAGCACTCTGAGCTGTGACGATGATGATGATGATGACGATGAGGATGATGAAGATTCCACCTGGAGGCAGCTCCTCCCTGAGAGACCGGGAGCCCAGGAGGGGCCTCACCCCAGGGCTGTGCTGAGAGGAGGTGGGGCCGGGGGTGGGCTGGTCAGCGATGCTCAGCCTGGTCCTCCAGTGTGACCAAGGCCTCGGCTGTGGCTGACATGGACTCCAAATGGAACCAACGTTCCTTTCTGTTTTAAAATACATTTTTATTGATGTCAGAGAGGAAGGAAGAGGCAGAGAGAGACAGAAGCATCAATGATGAGAGAGGATCATTGAGGGGCTGACTTTGCACACCCCCTACTGGGATCAAGCCCAAAACCTGGGCCTGTGCCCTGACCCGGAATACACCCCTGACCTCCGGGTTCGTAGGGCGATGCTCAACCACTGAGCCACGCTGGCCGGGCTGAGGACCCATGTCCTGAGGGTGTGGCTGTGTCACTGGGTGCAGAGGGCTGATAAGATGTCTCCAGAGCTGAGGGATCCAAATGCCACCTTTCCACCCAGTACTGCTGCCTATGCCAGGGCAGAGGCCTTGCTGTGTGTCCTGGGCCCAGGTCCCTGGAGGAAGAGGAGGAGGAGAAGGAGGAGGAGGAGGAGGAGAAGGAGGAGGGACATGCAGGGACCTGTGTGCATAGCAGGGTCTTAATGGGTCTGATTCCATCTCCTCACCAGTCTCCATAAGAATCGTTATCCCTGAGGAATGTCACTGTGAGGAAGGAAGCATGGCAAACGGGACCTGAGCCACAAATCCATGGGAACGCTGACCTGACGTCACAGCTGGGACACTATCAGGACCTGGGTTCCAAGGAGAACACAGTGCCGGATGGACACCGACCAGCAGAGTTAGGGCTGATACAGAACCGGTAGAGCCGCCAGCTGGTGCCCAGGTCAGGCCAGGAGAATGGAGAGGAGCTTTTTGTCTCACTTCCCTGTGGGTCTGGACCACTGTGTGTGTCACAGATCTGCTGTCCCATGTGTGACAGTAATACACAGCCTCATCTTCAGGCTGCAGCCCCGAGATGGTCAGGAGCCCCGCATTGGCCGAGGCGTCTTTGGATCCAGAGAAGCGACTGGGGACCCCGGTGCCCTGGTGCTTATCTGAATCTGATTTATATTCTAGGAGATACCGGGGAGGGCTCCCAGGATATTGCTGCTGCCAGCTTATCCTGTAGCTGCCAACATTGAAGCCACTGCTCAGGGTGCAGGTGAGTGTGACTTTGGCTCCCAGGGATTCAGAGAGGGAGGGCGGCTGGGTCAGCACAGGCTGGGAGAGGGACCCTGCAGACACAGACACTTGTCAGTGAGGGGCAGGGACCAGGGGCAGGTCCCCAGGAGACTGAGCAGGGAGGGAAGGAGCCTGGGCCCAGGCCTGGCCCTACCTGTGCAGAGAGAGAGGAGCGCCAGGAGCAGAGGGGTCCAGGCCATGGTGCTCACAGCCCTGAGCCCACAGTGGGGCTGGGCTGCCCAGGCCTCCTTTTCTCCCCCGCCCTCTGCCAGGGGAGGGGCTGCCATGCAAATGGGGGTCCCTCCAAGGACTGCCCAGCCCCTCCCTGGGCCCTGGGGCTGCAGCTCAGCTCATACCCCAGACTGAGGGGCATGGAGGTGGGCTCATCAGCCCTTGAGGGACCCTGGGAGGAAGCACCTGCTGAGACCACACAAGGTCCCCGCTCAGGGGGCGCTGCCATCCAGAGCTGACCCAACTGCTCTGTCTCCTCAGGGAACACAGGGCCCAGCTGGAGGCCCAGGTTCTCTGAGGGCACAGTCTTCACTGAGCAGCTCTGCAGGAATCCCAGGGCCGCCCAGCAGTGCCCCCTCCTGGTCAGGTAGAACTGTAACACGTGGGACAGCAGCTCTACACTATAAACATTGAGCGAGAACCTCTAGTGAAAACAGATAAAATGTACTCTCTCCTCGGAAGATATAAAATTGGCTCTGAAAGAAATAAAGTAATTAAAAGGCCAAATATTAGTAGAAAAAATAGAAAATGTAATGAACCATCCACTGAGGAGCATAAGATGCAGGCGTTTCACGGGGAACTCTGCCAAACCCTCCGAGATCAGATGGCTCCAATTTAACGGGCACAGATTTTTCAATAACATTTAACAATAAGTAGGATGTCACAGTGTTTTTGTTTTCATATTGATGAACACAGAATACACATAAGTTATACAAAATGGAGAAATACGGACCAATAGTATTAAATAATCCTAAATGTTTAAAATGAAATATGAGCTAATGGCCCAGCACTATTATGACGAGTGAGTTATCCCAATGATATAAGTTTTATTCATATTAACAAAATTTTAAATGTAACACAACATAATGACACATCAATAAATATGATCATAGTAGGGGCCCCGTGCACGGAATTCCTGCACCAGGGGGAGGAGAGGGTCCCTCAGCCTTGCCAGTGCCCTCTCTCAGATCTGAGGGGACCCATCGGGGGTTATCAGACGGCCGACTTAGGCCCAATCACCTGCGCCTAAGTCAGACATCCATCCCTCTTACAGTCCCAGATCCCAATCGCAGTCAGGGAACCATTGCTCTATACCACTCGCCTCCTCACTGCACCTTACAGCTTCTTCACGGGCGAGGAGGCTCCCGTGACTGCCACTGAGCTCGCCAGCTGTGAGCCAGCTTCTGGCTGAGCTGTGCTCCCCTTGTGGGAGCGCACTGACCACCAGGGGGCAGCTCATGTGTTGGACGTCTGTCCCCCGTGGTCACTGCTCATCATAGCAACCAGTCATTCCACCATTTGGTGAATTTGCATATTAGTCTTTTATGATATAGGATAGATAGCTCACATTATTAGATCAACAGATAAGCTCATGTTATCCTAATTGATCTTGTGACAGAGCCTTTGACCAAATCTAAAACATATTTCTACATATTTCTACACACACACGGATGGAAACAGAGACGTTTACAACATGGAAACTTCACTCTCTCACAGACAGAAGGCTGACTCCCACACCAGCATCTTAGCGAGTGGGTGGGGTTAGCTAAGATGTGAAGACATAAGACTTAACCCCACAGCCATCAGGAACGGGCTGTGTGACTGACACGAAACGATGAGTCAGCATGACTCTGCACGTTTAGAGGCTGCACAGGAACAGGGGGAGACCAGTGGTTAGCCCTCAGCATGGATGGGGTGGACAGCAGTCACGCCCAAATCCCTGGGCCTGAGCCAGCCCGGCCACGGGTCCTGGCCCAGCAGCGACGGGGGAGCCTCCGGAGGAGGGCGGCGGGCACAGGGAGAGCAGCCTGGCTCTCGGCCTCAGCCCAGCGATGGACAGGAAGCCCCTCCCAGACCGGAGCTCCACAGAGGAGCTGAGGGTGCGCTATTCCTGGGCACTGGGGGGCCCCCGGGTGGACACTACGCATATGGTCCACTCAGACCCTGCTGGACCCTGGGGCTTGGGCCTGCCCTGACCCACCGTGGCCTCTGCCCAGGGCAGTTTGCCTGGCACCGGGAGTTTCTCCTCCATTTGAGGAAATCAAGGCTGGAGGGGAGAGGGCGGGAGTGAAAGGATGGAGACAGGTTTTCTGAACCAAGTTCACTGAAGGGGTCTCAGGCCTGGGATCCGGGCAGGCACAGGAAGCAGCTGGCTTGTCGGAGGAGAGGGGTCGGCTAGGGGATCCCCATATCAAGAGGGACAGCAGGTTTTTGTCTCACTTCCCTACGGGCCTGCAGCACTGTGGGAGCTTTGAGAGTATTGTCCCATGCTGAGCAGTAATAATCGGCCTCATCCTCAGCCTGCAGCCCCGTGATGGTCAGTGTGGCTGAGTTGCCAGACTTGGAGCCAGAGAATCGGCCTGGGCCTCCTGATGGTCGGTAGCTATCACGATAGATGACACATTTGGGGGCTTTTCCTGGGAGCTGATGGTGCCAGGATACAAAGTAGCCCCTAATATTGTCGCTTTCTCCATTGCAGGTGATGGTGACCGTCTGGCCCAGGGCCCCCGACACTGAGGCCGGCTGAGTTGGCACAGACTGGGCCCAGGATCCTAGAAGAGGGAGAGACACAGAGAGGGTGAGTCTGGGTCTGGAGACAAGAGGAGGAAGCAGGGCCCATGTGTCTTCCCAAGGCCCCTTCCCCTGTCCCCTATCCAGTCACCTGTGCAGTGAGCCAGGAGGCTGAGGAGGAGAGGGGCCCAGGCCATGGTGGAGGTCATCCCTGAGTCCTGCCTCCTGTGCCCACAGCTGAAGCAGAGCTCCCCACCTCTCTCCCTGCCCCTCTTCAGAGTCTGCGGGAGGGAGGGCCCACTCATGCAAATGAGACCCCATCTATTTGATCCTCTCTGGGCCCTGGGGCAGGTGCCTATGGCTGAGAAGGGCTCTGGGTGTGTTCAGGGCGGGGCTGTGTGGGGCCATGGTTAAGGGACCACAGCTGTGAGCCCTGAGCAGGGGACCAGGTGCTGCCAGAATGTTCGCCCCAGGTCAAACCCCACAGATCCCTCAGGCGTGAGCCCAGAGCGCCCTCTAGTGTCCAGGCCCAGACACACCATTGAGTGACATGGGGACCAGAGCCCAGGAGAGACCACCTCTGCCTTCCCACTGCTCTGCCCACTGCCCCTGCCCTAGGCCCAGGCCTGGGGGCCCCTCCAGAAGCCTCCCCATCACCTCAGGGGCATCTCCAGTCTGTACTCAGCGTCCGCAGGGGAAGGCTGACCACAGCTCCCTGGGCTGGTCAGGAGTCAGGATTTAAGTGACGTCACCTGCACCAGCTCTTAGGCCCGTGCAGGCTCAGGTCAGGGCCAGAGCAGGGACAGCCAGTTGTGGGGAGACGCGTCCCTTCTGTGCGGGACGTGGGCTCTGTGTTGTGTGGGATTCATTCCTGGGGGCTGGGGGCCTTTTTCCTGTGGGTCCCAGGGGCCTTGTGGAGAATGGGCCCCTCCCTGGGGCTGGGAAGGTGGTGGGGAGGAGCCCTCATTTGCTCTCCTAGACCGTGGTCATGGTAACTTCCGTTTTCTGTCCATATTTCCCCTCCTGACACCATCATTTTCCATAACCGTGGGCTGAGGTCACTCCTAGGTGTCTGTTCTCAACACAAGACCTTGCCATTCTTCTGAGAGGAAAAAGGGAAAAACAGAGCAGAATATTCTAAGAATTTTTACATTTCTGTGCTAGGGTTTTATTTTAACACTTTACACATTAGTCACCATTCAACCAAGTTCAAATGCATGTATGTTATTCTATGTAAAGTCACAGTGAGGCTGATTTAAACATTCTGGGAGGAGGCGCGTTGATGAACACTGCGGGTCCAGGTGATGGTGGAAAAGCATTGAGGACGCGGTGCCTTTTGCTCTGGGTGGAAGGCGGGAACAGACATTTTTCTAACATCACTTCCCATTGCAGGCGGAGGAGGGAGCTGTCCGCTGCTCTGGTCCTGCCGGTTGGCAATCCCCAGTCCCTGCCCAGGGAACCCCCATGAGGAGTTTCTAGGAGCTTCCATCGTCCCAGGAGCAGCGGCACCGGCCACAGACAGAGCCCCCGGGACAGAGCGGAGTGGGCTCCAGGCTCGTCTCAGGAGGCACAGCGACCGTCGCTGCCCCTGGTCCAGCTTCCTCAGGACACAATGGGCCCCTCAGATGCCCAGCGGCCCCGGCTCCCTGGTGCCCGGCGTGTCTGGCTGTGGCTCGGCCTCTGAGTCATGAAAAGGTGCAAAGATGAGAGGGTCTGATCCCTGGTGTCCCGAGCCAAGGGGCCTGGGTTGGGTCTGACACTGGGCGGCAGAGGCCCCCCCACCCTGGCAGGTGTGTCCCCAGGGGTGACGCCCTCCCAGTGGCTGGCCCCAACTCAGCGGGCAGCGGCCCATGGGCAGCCCGGCCGTCATCCTCTGCATTCGGAGGGCTCGCTGCCCGGGTGGAGAGAGCAGTTCATTTCTGCTGGTTTGTGCTTCGAAACTCAGATTTCAGGACTCGAACCAGAACCCTCTGTCAGTCTGTCCTGGACCCTGGGCAGAGCTTGGCCTGAAGTGCCCTGATTTGACCTCTCTGCTGTCCTCATAGATGGAGCAGGCAGCTGCTGGAGGGCTCAGCCCTCACAGAGGAGAGGGGTTTTTGTCTCACTTCCCCACAGGCCTGCAGCACTGTGTGACTGTTGGTACTGCTGTCCCATGCTGAGCAGTAATAATCGGCCTCGTCCTCTGCCTGCAGCTCCGTGATGGTCAGAGTGGCTGAGCTGCCAGACCTGGAGCCAGAGAATCGGTCCGGGACCCCTGAGGGTCGGGTATTAGTACCATAGATGACAGTTTTCAGGGGCTTTCCTGGGAGCTGCTGGTGCCAGGACACATAGTTATTATTCCCAATGTTGGTGCCGCTTCCAGTGCAGGAGATGGTGACCCTCTGGCCCGGGGACCCCGACACTGAGGCCGGCTGAGTCACTACAGGCTGGGCCCGGGATCCTGGAAGAGGGGGAGACACAGAGAGGGAGAGTCTGGGTCTGGAGACAAGAGGAGGAAGCAGGGCCCCTGTGTCTTCCCAAGGCCCCTTCCCCTGTCCCCTATCCAGTCACCTGTGCAGTGAGCCAGGAGGGTGAGGAGGAGAGGGGCCCAGGCCATGGTGGAGGTCATCCCTGAGTCCTGCCTCCTGTGCCAACAGCTGAAGCAGAGCTCCCCACCTCTCTCCCTGCCCTCTTCATAGTCTGCGGGAGGGAGGGCCCTTTTATGCAAATGAGACCCCATCTATTTGATCCTCCCTGGGCCCTGGCGCAGGGCCCTCTGATGAGAATGGCCATGGGTATGGGTGGGGGTGGGGTTGGGGCCGAGGTTTGGGGAGTCACAGCTGACAGCCCTAAGCAGATGGTCCTGCACTTTGTTAGGGGCTGGTCCAGCTCTGATCACCCAGATCCCTAGACAACAAATGCACTGCGCCCTCTAGTGTCCAAGCCCAGACACAGCATGGAGTGACATGGGGACCAGAACCCATGAGAGACCACCTCTGCCTTCCCACTGCTCTGCCCACTCCCCTGCCCTAAGCCCAGGCCAGGGGCCCCCTCTCATGGCCTCCCCATCACCTCAGGGCATCTCCAGTCACCACTCAGGCACGTTCAAATGCATGTTGGCCTGGCCACCTAAGTTCCAGTGTCAGGGTTTGGTATTCTGTCAGGGCACATGCCCAGGTCCTGGCTCTATCCCCCACAAGAAGGATGTACACAGGAGGGGGCATACAAGAGGCAGCTGATCCATGATTCTCTCTTATTATTGATGTTTCTGTCTCTACCTGTACCTTCAGTCTGAAATACATTTTTAAATGCATGTATGTTATTATATAAACGTCACAATAAGGCTCATTTAAAAATTCTAGGAGGGCTAAAACCAGTTTGGCTCAGTGGTAGAGTGTCGGTTGCGGACTGAAAGGTCCCAGGTTCCATTCCGGTCAAGGGCATGTACATTGGTTGCGGGCACAATCCCGGTAGGGGGAGTGCAAGAGGCAGCTGGTCGATGTTTCTTTCTCATCGACATTTCTAGCTCTCAATCTCTCTTTCTCTTCCTCCTCTTTGTAAAATATCAATAAAATATATTTTTAAAAAACAAACCACAAATGCTCTTTAAAAAATTCTAGGAGGAGGCACGTTGATGAACGTTGCGGGTCCAGGTGTTGGTGGAAAAGCATTGGGGACGCGGTGCCTTCTGCTCTGGGTGGAAGGCGGGAACAGAGGTTTTTCTGACATCCCTTCCCATTGCAGGCGGAGGCGGGAGCTGTCCGCTGCTCTGGTCCTGCCGGTTGGCAATCCCAATTGGTGCCCAGGGAGCCCCCCGAGGACCTTTTAGGAGCTTCCATCCGTCCAGGAGCAGCAGCAGCGGCCACAGACCCAATGGCCACAGCACACGGCCCCTCAGCCTCTGGGCCGCCAATTCAGGCCATTTCCGCTGACAACCACTGAGGCCGCAGGTGAATGAATCAGTGCCGCCCCCTGGACTCACAGCTGTCACGCCTCCAGGCACAGCCTGCTGGCCGCTCTCCGTCTAGGCCGTTAAGAAGCTGCCATAGACGTCCACGTGCTGGGGCTTCTGTGCACAGAGGATTCAGCTTCATTCCGATCCTTTTATTTTATCTTTTAATGCAGATGTAATTGACATTATATCGGTGTCAGGTGCACACCGTGAGGACTCTGTGTGGGTGTCCGTGCACAGCCGGCTCCAGAATAATGCCCCTGACCTCTGCCGTCACACTGGCTGTAAGCTCGGCTGCTTCTGTGCTGAGGACACTGAGGTCCAGTCTCTGAGCTGCTTCCACAGACACAATAGGACAGCGTCCCCTGCTGGTCCCCATGCTGCCCGTCCTCCCAGAGCCAGGCAGCCAGTTCGTGCTCCTGGATCCCCTCCTCCCACTTGGACCACCCCCTTCCTCATCACCATGGCAACCCCGAATCTGTTATAGTTTGATCGCTGTGAATGGCCAATTTTTGTGCTTAAAATCACAGGCAAATCTACACCACAGGTCTCAGGCTGAGCCCAGCAGGCAGCTGCTGGAGGGCTCACTCCTCGCAGAGCAGAGGGTTTTTGTCTCACTTCCCCACAGGCCTGCAGCACTGTGGGAGCACTCAGACTGCTGTCATAGGACTGGCAGAAATAACTGGCCTCGTCCTCAGCCTGCAGCCCCGTGATGGTCAGGGTGCCTGAGCTGCCAGACTTGGAGCCAGAGAATCGGTTCGGGACCCCTGAGGGTCGGTTGCTATTACCATAGATGATGAGTTTGGGGGCCTTTCCTGGGAGCTGCTGGTACCAGTGCACATTGTAACCCCCAATGTTGGAGCTGCTTCCAGTGCAGGAGATGGTGACCGTCTGGCCCGGGGACCCCGACACTGAGGCCGGCTGAGTTGGCACAGACTGGGCCCAGGATCCTGGAAGAGGGGAGACACAGAGAGGGTGAGGCTGGGTCTGGAGACAAGAGGAGGAAGCAGGGCCCATGTGTCTTCCCAAGGCCCCTTCCCCTGTCCCCTATCCAGTCACCTGTGCAATGAGCCAGGAAGGTGAGGAGGAGAGGGGCCCAGGCCATGGTGGAGGTCATCCCTGAGTCCTGCCTCCTGTGCCCACAGCTGAAGCAGAGCTCCCCACCTCTCTCCCTGCCCCTCTTCATAGTCTGCGGGAGGGAGGGCCCTTTTATGCAAATGAGACCCCATCTATTTGCTCTTTCCTGGGCGCTGGGTTGGGACCCTGTTCCTGAGGATGGCCATTGGTAAAGGTGGGGGAGGAGCTCTGGGGGGCCCAGGTTTGGGGAGTCACAGCTGACAGCACTGATCAGCTGGTCCTGCACTTTGTCAGGGGCTGGTCAGCTCTGATCACCCAGATTCCTCAGCAGCAAACCCCTAGCGCCCTCTAGTGTCCAGGCCCAGACACACCATTGAGTGACATGGGGACCAGAACCCATGAGAGACCACCTCTGCCTTCCCACTGCTCTGCCCACTGCCCCTGCCCTAGGCCCAGGCCAGGGGGCCCTCCCGTGGCCTCCCCATCACCTCGGGGCATCTCCAGTCACCACTCAGCCACGGTCAAATGCATGTATGGCCTGGCCACCTAAGTTCCAGTGTCAGGGTTTGATTCCCTGTCAGGGCACATGCCCAGGTCCTGGCTCCATCCCCCACAAGAAGGATGTACACAGGAGGGGGTACACAGGAGGCAGCCGATCCATGATTCTCTCTTATTATTGACATTTCTCTCTCTACCTGTCTCTTCCTCTCTGAAATAATTTTTAAATGAATGTATGTTATTATATGTAAACGTCACAATAAGGCTGATTTAAACATTCTAGGATGGTGCACGTTGATGGACACTGTGGGTCCAGGTGATGGTGGAAAAGCATTGGGAACGCGGTGCCTTCTGCGCTGGATGGAAGGCGGAAACAGACGTTTTTCTAACATCACTTCCCATTGCAGGCGGAGGCGGGAGCTGTCCGCTGTGCTCTGGTCCTGCCGGTTGGAAATCTGGAGTCTGTGCCCAGTGAACCCGCCGAGGAGTTTCTAGGAGCTTCCATCGTCCCAGGAGCAGCAGCACCGGCCACAGACCATGGAAAGCGCCTTGTCTCCAGCTGACCCGCAGCTGCAGGTCCCGGGGTGACCAGCCTGGGGGCACAGTGAGCAGCAGACACCCAGCTCCCGATGGCCACAGCACACGGCCCCTCAGCCTCTGACCGCCAATTCAGGCCATTTCCGCTGACAACCACTGAGGCTGCAGGTGAATGAATCAGTGCCGCCCCCTGGACTCACAGCTGTCACGCCTCCAGGCACAGCCTGCTGGCCGCTCTCCGTCTAGGCCATTAAGAAGCTGCCATAGACGTCCACGTGCTGGGGCTTCTGTGCACAGAGGATTCAGCTTCATTCCGATCCTTTTATTTTATCTTTTAATGCAGATGTAATTGACGTTATATCGGTGTCAGGTGCACACCGTGAGGACTCTGTGTGGGTGTCCGTGCACAGCCGGCTCCAGAATAATGCCCCTGACCTCTGCCGTCACACTGGCTGCAAGCTCGGCTGCTTCTGTGCTGAGGACACTGAGGTCCAGTCTCTCAGCTGCTTCCACAGACACAGTAGGACAGCGCCCCCTGCCGGTCCCCATGCTGCCCGTCCTCCCAGAGCCAGGCACTCACAGCCAGAGTTTCTGCTCCTGGATCCCCTCCTCCCACTTGGACCACCCCCTTCCTCATCACCATGGCAACCCCGAATCTGATATAGTTTGATCGCTGTGAATGGCCAATTCTTGTGCTTAAAATCACACGCAAATCTCCACCAGCCGGGCTGGTTAAAGGGGAGGAAATCAGAATGGGGAGGGGACTGGGCTAGTGGCCCTTCCAGCACAGCCTCAGTGCTGAGCCCCAGGCAGGGGCGGGGCCCGGACCAGCTGTCACTCAGCCTCACAGGACCAGGGAGTCCAGCCCAGGGGGGGTGGGGGTGGTCCTGGCCCCGCGGGTGGGGAGAGGCCTTCCCTCCCTTCAGGCCCTGAGCCTGGGAGAGCTGCTCTGAGTGACACGGAGGCCTGAGGGGAGGGAGGACCGCTCTCCCCCAGGCAGGGTCCCCGGATGAACCTGGGCCCAGGGCCTCAGTGAGGGAACCAGCAGAAGCCACAGGTCTCAGGCTGAGCCCAGCAGGCAGCTGCTGGAGGGCTCATCCCTCCCAGAGCAGAGGGTTTTTGTCTCACTTCCCCACAGGCCTGCAGCACTGTGGGAGCACTCAGACTATCATCCCATGATAAACAGTAATAATCGGCCTCATCCTCAGCCTGCAGCCCCGTGATGGTCAGGGTGGCTGAGCTGCCAGACTTGGAGCCAGAGAATCGGTCCGGGACCCCTGAGGCTCTATCGTTATCATAATAGATGAGGAGTTTGGGGGCCTTTCCTGGGAGCTGTTGGTACCAGGACACATAGTAACCCCCAATGTTGGAGCTGCTTCCAGTGCAGGAGATGGTGACCCTCTGGCCCGGGGACCCCGACACTGAGGCCGGCTGAGTCACCAGAGACTGGGCCCAGGATCCTGGAAGAGGAAAGACACAGAGAGGGTGAGTCTGGGTCTGGAGACAAGAGGAGGAAGCAGGGCCCATGTGTCTTCCCAAGGCCCCTTCCCCAGTCCCCTATCCAGTCACCTGTGCAGTGAGCCAGGAGGGTGAGGAGGAGAGGGGCCCAGGCCATGGTGGAGGTCATCCCTGAGTCCTGCCTCCTGTGCCCACAGCTGAAGCAGAGCTCCCCACCTCTCTCCCTGCCCCTCTTCATAGTCTGAGGGAGGGAGGGCCCTTTTATGCAAATGAGACCCCATCTATTTGATCCTCCCTGGGCCCTGGGGCAGGGCCCTCTGCCTGAGGATGGCCATGGTATGGGCGGGGGTGGGGCGGGTGGGGCCCAGGTTTGGGGAGTCACAGCTGACAGCCCTGAGCAGATGGTCCTGCACTTTGTCAGGGGGCTCATCCAGCTCTGATCACCCAGATCCCTCGGCAACAAATGCACAGCGCCCTCTAGTGTCCAAGGCCAGACACAGCATAGAGGGACATGGGGACCAGAACCCATGAGAGACCACCTCTGCCTTCCCACTGCTCTGCCCACTGCCCCTGCCCTAGGCCCAGGCCAGGGGCCCCTCCCGTGGCCTCCCCATCACCTCAGGGCATCTCCAGTCTGTACTCAGCGTCCTCAGGAGGAGTCTGACCACAGCTCCCTGGGCTGGTCAGGAGTCAGGATTTAAGGGACGTCTCCTGCACCAGCTCTCAGACCCGTGTGAGGGTTCAGGTCAGGGCCAGAGCAGGGACAGCCAGTTGGGGGGAGACACGTCCCTTCTGTGCGGGACGTGGGCTCTGTGTTGTGTGGGATTCATTCCTGGGGTTGGGGGCCTCCTTCCCCTGGATCCCAGGGGCCCCTCCCTGGGGCTGGGCAGGTGGTGGGGAGGCGCCCTCATGTGCTCTCCTAGTCCGTGGTCATAGTAACTGCCATTTCCTGTCAATATTTCCCCTCCTGACACCATCGTTCTCCACAAACCACGGGCTGAGGTAACTCCTAAGACTCTGTTCTGAATGCACATTCAGGTGTTGGCATTTATGGGGGACATGCAGGACATACTAAGCAGAAATGGGGTTGAAATTTCTAATTGCTGAGAAGGACTTGATTTTATTTATTTATTTTTTTTAAATATATATTTTATTGATTTTTGTACAGAGAGGAAGGGAGAGAGATAGAGAGTTAGAAACATCGATGAGAGAGAGTCATCGATCAGCTGCCTCCTGCACACCCCCTACCAGGGATATGCCCGCAACCAAGGCACATGCCCTTGACTGGAATCGAACCCGGGACCCTTCAGTCCCCAAGCTGACGCTCTATCCATTGAGCCAAACCAGTCTCGGCAAGAGAAGGACTTGATTTTAAAATTTTATAAATTGGTCACCACTCAGTCATGTTCAAATGCATGTATGTTCCGGCCACCTAAGTTCCAGGTGTCAGGATTGAATTCCCAGTTAGAGCACATGCCCAGCTTTTCAGTTCAATCCCCAGTAAGGGGTACATAGAAGGCAGCTGATCTATGATTCTTTCTCATCAATGATGTTTCTCTCTACCTGCCCCTTCCCATCTGAAATCTATACATTTTTAAAATGCATGTATGCTGTTATATGTAAAAGTCACAATAAAGCTCATTTAAAAATTCTAGGAGGATACACGTTGATGAACATTGGGGTTGAGGTGTTGGTGGAAAAGCATTGGAAACACAGCGCCTTTTGCTCTGGGTGGAAGGTATGAACAGACGTTTTTATAACATCACGGAGTGGCCCTGGTCCCGGCGTCTCCCTGGGGCCATCAGGCTGGTTGTCATTTCAGGAGAAAAGGTGCAGGCCCTGCCCTACGCCGTTTGGCTCAGTGGACAGAGCGACGGCCTGCGGACTGAAAGGTCCCGGGTTCGATTCCTGTCAAAGGCGTGTACCTTGGTTGCGCGCACATCCCCAGTAGGACGTGTGTCATAGGCAGCTGATCAATGTTTCTAACTCTCTATCCCTCTCCCTTCCTCTCTGTAAAAAATCAATACAATATATATATTTTTTAAAAACAGGTGCTGGCCCGCGGGGTCTGCCGGGATCACATAGGGATGAGCAGGCAACATGTCAGCGACCCGCGGCTTTGTGTTGTTTTATTTCTGTTCTATGGGTCCTTGGGCTTCAGAAACCTCCCTGGGGAAGTGGGAGTGGGCCCAGGACCAGCCGTGCCTGGGCTAACGGAGTGCGCAGGTGCGAGCTATCGCCAGCTGGCCGCGTGGTCCGGGAAGAAGCAGCTGAGGTTTGTGTCCCACGTCCCCGCCCGCGGGGGTCACCGTGGGAAGCGCCACCGTGCGAGGTCGCACAGTGGTAGTCCGCCTCGTCCTCCGGCTGCAGCCCCGCGATGAGCAGGAGCCCCGCGTTGGCCGAGGCGTCTGTGGACCCAGAGAAGCGGCCGGGGACGCCGGAGCCCAGGCTGGTGCTGGAGGAGTAAGACAGCAGGAACCGGGGGCGGCTCCCTGGCTTCTGCTGGAACCAGAGTAAGGTTTGACCAGCGACGCTGACGTCACTTTTCACGGTGCAGGGGAGTCTGGCCGCGGCTCCCAGGGAGGCAGAGACGGAGGGCGGCTGGGTCAGCACAGGCTGGCAGAGGGACCCTGTGGACACAGACGCATGGGGGTGAGGGGAAGGCTCAGGGGGCAGGTGCTCTGGGTCCCCGAGGCCTGTGGCTACCTGTGCAGTGAGCGAGGAGCGTGAGGAGCACAGGGGTCCAGGCCATGGTGAGCGCAGCCCCTTCCCAGGACACGGAGCTGGGGCTGGTCTACCCAGACCTCTCTTATCCCCACCCTGCTGGCCTCACAGAGGAGGGGCTGCTCATGCAAATGTGCCTAGGCCCCGCCCCTCATCCAGAGGAGGGGCTTCTTATGCAAATGCAATCCAGGTCCTGCCCCTCTCCCAGAGGAGGGGCTTATCATGCAAATGTAACCCAGGCCCCACCCCTCTTCCAGAGGCGGGGCTTATCATGCAAATGTAACCCAGGTTCCACTCATCTCTCAGAGGAGGGGCTTCTCATGCAAATAGCCCTCAGGCCCCGCCCCTCTCCCAGGTGCACTGCCATCTATGACACAGCAACAGCCTGGCCTGTGTCTTCCTGCCAAGATCCCAGTGTCCACAGGGCATCCCCCAACCTGAACGTACAAGGAAAGTGGAGGGCGGGGTGAGGAACATGAGAGATAATTGGCCACATTTCCGTCCTTTCCTTGTCCTACTTGGACCCCACGTCTCCCCGCAGTGGGGTTCCATTGTGGCGAACCCCAGTTCCGGCTGGGCAGGCCCTGTTCCCTATACCAAGTGGACAGCCCCCTTCCTTAGGACCATGACGGGGGCAGGGAGGAGGCGTGAGTTTCGGGGGTCCAAGGACCTGGAAAGCAGGGGTTCCCGGTCCGGGAGTCAGGAAAGAGCCTCTCGCTTCCTGGGGGTGTGTCGTGTACACGCGGTGCCTGCGGCAGCGGAGACATGTACTTCTCATGTAGGAAGCCAAGGTGGACAGCCCGGCCCCTCACCCCGGGACCCGCATCGCCCACTTCCTCTGAAGGGGGCTCAGCGGGTCCCCAGCATCTGGGGAGCCTCCGCCACCTTCCAGGGGCCCCAGAGGGGATTCTGGGACTCAGGCCCCACCTTTCCCCTTCCATAAACCCCCTCTCCCTGACGTCGCCCCTGGAGGCTCAGGGGCCCAGCGAGGTGACAGGTGAGATCTGGTCCGGGAATGCATCCATCTGGGCTGAGTCCTCACCCAGCGTCTCAGTGGCCTGGCTGTGAAACGCGGTGTGCCCCGGGCAGGCGGGCCCATTGGCGGGAAGGGGGACCAGGGCTCAGGTGCAGAAACCAAAGGACTCCAGCAGATGAGTGGAATCAAGGGAGGGACCAGGGGTACCTTCAATTTATAGTGAAACGGAGAAGAAACCGGGGACCTCCTACGAATGATTGCCACCTGACCTGTGGGCATCAGGGGGACTGGCCCTTTAACTGCGGGTCTGACACCCTCTCTGGGCAGCTGGGGTGAGCACTGAGTGCTGTTGGGGGGCATCAGCTGGGGTCAGAGAACTGCTGTCGGGGAGCCACTCCCCACACATTGGGGCCCAGAAGGGCCAGGAGGGAAGAGCTCTGAGGAAGCAGCAGACACACACACAGGAGGGAGGAGCTGAGACTCTGACCCAGAAAAGTTCCTTCTTAGAATTCCCCCCCCCCAACCCCCACACGGGGTGGAGGGCGGGGCTCCTAGAAGGGAGGCTCAGGGCCCCGCCTCGGGGCCAGGGTTTTGGTCTCACTTCCTCGTCCTCTGAGACACTGTGGGTAACTGAAGCTGCTCCCTCTGCCAAGAGGAGTAGCGCAGTAATAGTGAGCCTCCTCCTCAGCCTGCAGCCCCGAGATGGTCAGGAGCCCCGCTTTGGCCGAGGCGTCTTTGGATCCAGAGAAGCGGCTGGGGACCCCGGAGCCCTGGCCCTTATCTGAGTCTGATTTATATTTCAGGAGAAACCGGGGAGGACTTCCTGGCTTCTGCTGGTGCCAGTGTATCCAGTAATCACTAATAGGATAGGAACCAGTACCACTTAGGATGCAGGTGAGTCTGACTGTGGCTCCCAGAGATGCAGAGACGGAGGGCGGCTGGGTCAGGACAGTCTGGGACAGGGACCCTGCAGACACAGACACTGGTCAGTGAGGGGCAGGGACCAGGGGCAGGTTCCCAGGAGACCGAGCAGGAAGGGAAGGAGCCTGGGCCCAGGCCTGGCCCTACCTGTGCAGAGAGAGAGGAGCGCCAGGAGCAGAGGAGTCCAGGCCAGGGTGCTCACAGCCCTGAGCCCACAGTGGGGCTGGGCTGCCCAGGCCTCCTTTTCTCCCCGCCCTCTGCCAGGGGAGGGGCTGCCATGCAAATGGGGGTCCCTCCAGGGACTGCCCAGCCCCTCCCTGGGCCCTGGGGCTGCAGCTCAGCTCACACCCCAGACTGAGGGGCATGGAGGTGGGCTCCCTCTTGGGGGGCCTGGGAGGAAGCACCTGCTGAGACACCACATCACTGAGCACAGGGCCCAGCCTCATGCCCAGGCTCCTAACAGTTAAAGTCCTTAATGTGCAGCTGCATTGGAACCACAGGGCGGTCCCACAGCGCCCCCTGCTGGTGGCTGCACACACCTGCCCTTGGCCCCAAGCCCTGAGAGCCCAGCTGGACCTGCAGCTCAGAGGGGACTGTCTGTGGCCACACACCCTGCCCTGGTCCCGATCCTGTGCCTGATGCCTGGAGCGCTCTCTGCAGCCTGCCTCCCAGGAGGATTCCCGCCTGTGGGAGGCGCCATCAGGTCCACCAAGGACAGATGGACGTGGTTTCCCCTCCAGGGAAGATGGTGCCCAACTGAGTGCACAGGGACCCTCCTGTCCCACGTCACAGCCCAGGGACCCCTCCCTCTGGAGACCGGGACTCAGAGGGCTGCTCAGGGCGTTTCCCGGGAACACACTCAGGACCAAGGTCCAAGGAGGACGTCTCTCCAGACCTTCCATGTCATGAGGGGCACGTGCAGGCTCACAGGGATCTGATGGGACGGACCCATAAGCATCATGGCGTTTGCAGGCCTCCCGTCGGCCAGTGGGAGGAGCCACAGCTCATTCATCCAGGAATTAACCTTCGTCACGTGTGTGGTGATCGGCACAGCTGTGTCCTGTGTTTCTTATTGGGATTTTCTCAGCTGTTGACATTTGTTTATATTTTACTTAAAACTTTACCTCCTGTGCTTTCTGACTCGTCCTATTTTCGTGAAAAGTGGGAGAATTTGCTTTGTGTAGACACCCTTTCTGTCTGTACAAGTGAATACAGACACCATCACATCCTCACTGAATGGAAACCCAGCGGGAACTTGTCACTTTTCTCTGAATCCTCATGAAGGATGAGCCCTGACCTCGAACCTGAGGTGCCAGAGGCTGAGAGGAGGGGTGGGAGGCAGCAGCAGAGGAGGGAGGAGGGCAGGGAGGGGGCACTGAGGGTCCGTGCTGGTTGGGACCCACCTTCTGTGGTTTGTTCAGAGAAGGAGGAGGCTGTGTCCATGACCAGGGGGAACATGAACATGTCACATGGGACGGGTCAGGATTCACACAGGGTCACACACGGGATAGGAATGTGTGGGGAGCATGGCTGTCTGGGGGACCCTGTATGGGTGCAGACACAGTGCGTGACATGACAGTAAACACACGCTGGTCTCCGACCCTGGCCCCGGCACCGGATCCTGAGACCCTTGTCACTCCTTGGGGGATGGGCAGGCCTGTGCCCGATGAGGGGGAGCTGGGCGGGCTCCCTTTGACTGACACCCAAGTGCAGACAGTCATCATCTCTGGGCCAGGGGTTTTGGTCTCACTTCCTCGTCCTCTGAGGCACTGTGGGTAACGGTAGCTGCTGCCACTGCCATGATCTGTAGCGCAGTAATAGTGAGCCTCGTCCTCAGGCTGCAGCCCCGAGATGGTCAGGAGCCCCGCATTGGCCGAGGCGTCTTTGGATCCAGAGAAGCGGCTGGGGACCCCGGAGCCCTGGTGCTTATTGGAGTCTGAGTAGTAGTACAGGAGATACCGGGGACGGCTTCCTGGCTTCTGCTGGTACCAGTATATGGTATAGCTGCCAACACTGAAACCACTGCTCAGGGTGCAGGTGAGTCTGACTGTGGCTCCCGGAGAGGCAGAGAGGGAGGGCGGCTGGGTCAGCACAGGCTGGGACAGGGACCCTGCAGACACAGACACTGGTCAATGAGGGGCAGGGACCAGGGGCAGGTTCCCAGGAGACCGAGCAGGAAGGGAAGGAGCCTGGGCCCAGGCCTGGCCCTACCTGTGCAGAGAGAGGAGCGCCAGGAGCAGAGGAGTCCAGGCCATGGTGCTCACAGCCCTGAGCCCACAGTGGTGCTGGGCTGCCCAGGCCTCCTTTTCTCCCCTGCCCTCTGCCAGGGGAGGGGCTGCCATGCAAATGGGGGTTCCTCCAGGGACTGCCCAGCCCCTCCCTGGGCCCTGGGGCTGCAGCTCAGCTCACACCCCAGACTGAGGGGCAGGGAGGTGGGCTCAGCCCTCGGGGGACCCTGGGAGGAAGCACCTGCTGAGACACCACATTACTGAGCACAGGGCCCAGCCAAGGACCCAGGCTCCTATCAGTTAAGGTCCTTAATGTGCAGCTGCATTAGGACCACAGCGCCCCCTGCTGGTGGCAGCACACACCTGCCCTTGGCCCAAAGCCCTGAGAGCCCAGCTGGACCTGCAGCTCAGAGGGGACTGTCTGTGGCCATACACCCTGCCCGGATCCCGGGTCCTGTGCCTGATGCCTGGAGCGCTCCCTGCAGCCTCTCTCCCAGGAGGAGCCCCGCCTGTGAGAGGCGCCATCAGATCCACCAAGGACACATGGATATGGTTTCCCCTCCAGGGAAGATGGTGCACAAGTGAGTGCACAGGGACCCTCCTGTCCCACGTCACAGCCCAGGGACCCCTCCCTCTGGAGACCGGGACTCAGAGGGCTGCTCAGGGCGTTTCTCGGGAACACACTCAGGACCAAGGTGCAAAAAGGACGTCTCTCCAGACCTTCCACGCCATGAGGGGCACGTGCAGGCTCACAGAGATCTGATGCGACGGACCCATAAGCATCATGGCGTCTGCAGGCCTCCCGTGGGCGAGTGGGAGGAGTCACAGCTCATTCATGCAGGAATTGACTTTTGTCACGTGTGTGGTGATCTGCATAGCTGTGTCCTGTGTTTCTTGTTGGGA